CTACAATACTACAGCGAGAATAAAAGTTACGCTTTCTTTCTTTGCGTGAACATTTGGGTGGTGTTATGCAAATCTTCCCACATCGTGATGTAGACATGTGGGGGCGTGTTAGAACGAGCTGTTTTAGGTAGGTGTGGCTGACTCTTAACTTTTATAAAGAATATCTCTTTGGATTTGAGACTTTAGTCTTTGCAACTTTACAGATCTTCTTTATGCACCAAGAGCTTGTAACACTCCAAAGAGAAAGGAACAATTGAAATCGCATCATATGACCCCTTTAAGTCTATAACAAACGGTTCAGGACTTACGGTAAAAAATGTCAACATTTCTTGTTTTTTGCACTGTATCCTCTTGGGTCGATCAGAACGAGTCAATGCCATTGTGTACCCAAATTGAGCACTACGATTTCACAGATTTTCAAGTCTCTAGGCCTTATGGTTTGGTCTAAACGATAGAAATGTAATAATACTAAAGTCCTTACATTTACAATAGGGTTTCAGAGTTTCACGCTTGAACCCCTATATTTTAGAAAGTATTTTTACTGAAAAAATGCCTCACATCACCTTTACACTTCTGTCCTGTTCTTTGGGAGACAGCAGTGCTTGAACTAGAATCAGGATGGTTGAACAGACCTCGTTAGGCTCTTGGGTTGTCGGCTCTTGGGTTTGGTTTCGCTGAGGCAGCATTCTACATACATTTGATTAATGTGCCGAGCATCTGAACCTGTGTGGGTTCTGACAGCCCTCTGATTGATTGTTAACAGTGTGTCATATATATTCATTAGTGGAGTGAGTGTGTCATTATCATCATCATCATCATCATCATCACACAAAAGAAGCTACATGTTCCTCCTCTCTCAAATGTGTGTGTGTGTGTGTTTGGCTGCTCATGGGAGGCCCTCACCATATGTTCATCATTCATTTCTCCTTTAACTCTGTGTTCTTCATGCATGCACACCTCTCCACACACTCCTCATGTTGGAGGTGCAGTGTGTGTTTTAGAGTTTAGGAGCTTTCACATCAGGACTATGTAAGTATTACAGCAGTATTGCAGAGCGTTCATCATGTTCCCCTATCCATGGGCTGCTGGGATTCTAAGACTGGACAGGATAGAGGAAAAGAAGAGGGAAAGAAATATTAAATAAAATATTTATTGCAAATAATATTATGCTAGACAGGGAGAGCAAAGTTGGCACACCATAGATCCAAAAGTAGAAAAATATTTATTTATGTTCTCACCACAGCTGACGTTTCGAGCCTACAAGCTCTTCATCAGTATAATATTATTTTAAATAATTTTTATTATTAAATAATATTATGCCAACAGTAAATTAAATTATCCACCCATTCATTCTCCAAACTGCCTATCCTCTGTAGAGTCGCGGGGTAGATTAGATTAGATTAGATTAGATTGAACCCCCAAAATAAAGTCAAAACAAAAGGTTGCAAGTCTTACAGTAAAAGTACATATAAGTCTAAATATTGTTCAGTCGGTGTTATTTGTTATCTTAGTATCTGCGTTTTTTTATTAATATAAATATAAAATGGTTAGTTTTGAATAATTTTTATTTCAGTTCCATGTTAAACTACATAAAAAGGAAAAGTAGAAATGTTACCTTTGCAAATAAAAAGAAATAAAACGTTTTTTCCCCAGTTTATTTTATTTTATTAAGTTTGAAAATGTTTTTAATTGGCTTTAATTTTAGTTTCAATTTAAGTTTTAATTTTAGTTAACATTAATAACTCTAATTTCAGTACATCAAAAGTTATTACATATTGGGGAAATATAGTGTGTTTTAAGGTGAATAACCTTAAATGAATAACATATTTAGTTATGCTTCTTGACTCATTATATTATATTATGAATCACATAAATGATACTTTCAAATCAAAACAGCAAAATTTGACAAAAAAGAGTAGTTTTACTTACTTTGGCCATTTAACATTTATAGTGTAAAACAGTTGTCAAATATGAAATGTTTGGCTTCTTACATCACAATGGATTTCACAATTGGCTGAACAATAAATCCTGTTTTCTTTTATGTGATGCATCTCAAACATTTTGACATTGACGAGTGCTGTTCAACATTAAAAACTGTTACAACATACAGAAGGGTGCGTAATGAAGTGCAACAGAGCTGCATCAAGAATATCAAACACTGAGGTGGACAATTTGACCAAATCTGTTTATTGGAGGGGCCCAATTTAATGGACGTGCCCCCCTTATTTTATGGTGGTTACAGCCCTGATGTTTATTGAAACATACTGAAAATAGCATACTTTTATTATTGTAAATTCTCCATTCGATTAGCAAAGTCGCTCAATCCCACAGTTGCCTGAGCCACGGGCAGCATGGCATGTGTGTGTGTGTGAGTGTGTGTCCAGAGAGTCTGCTGAACTCTGTCATGTCTCATCTCCAGTAATCTTTGTAGAATTAAGTTCAGCTCAGTCCATTAGTGCAGCCTAATGGAAGCATCTGAGAGTTTAGAGTCACTTAATCAGGCATCTTCACATTATGTGATCAGAGAGACGTGATTTTGGGCGTTACTGACACTACCATCTTAAAGAAGAGAGCATGATCCTGGAAAAACAAGACAAATGAGGGGTGGGGGGGCGTTATTGAGTGGATCTGGAAATGTCACAACTTTATTCAGGGTTTCTGTGGGTGATGGCATTGAATGTTTCATGCACTGGCAAATCATCCCTACAATAAGATTCATTTACTTGAGATGCAAAATGAAGATATAAAGTATTGTTTTCTGCAAAACTGAACAAAATTAAGTCAGTTTATGCTTAAGGCATGCACAAATATCTGCCAGTGAGGTATGAAAGAACTATCCCTTTAAACTAAGTTGATTTTTCTGAGTCTGTTTTTTATTTTTTGATTAGTCTGATGTGTTCTTGCTTTAATCACATATTCACTTCATTTTGTTTTCTGATCAGTTTCTCAGAAAACAAGCCTAAATGTATCTTGATTTCAGAATCTTTAGACATTTTTACTGGAAAAAAGACAAAAATGCTAAAGAAAGCATAACTTTTTTGCAGGTACAGTAAAATATTTCCATAATGTAGTGGTTGGGAATAAGTATTCAATTGGCTTAAGCTATTATTTTGTAAAATGAATTAAAAGTAGGCCTAATGGACATTTCTTTTTTTTTTGGAAGTTGTATTTTTAAACTTTGAAGTGTTGCTAATACAACTTCATGTGTGCTCCCTGTACTTTTACATTTTGAAAACATGAATGAATTTTGTTCCCTTCAATTTAACTGATTTATTTAAAAATGTATCACCTGAATGTATTTTAGAATTTTTGTCTAGTGTAGATTTGAAACGTCTTTAACTTTTTGTTAATTGTATACCTTGTGTAATTCTGAGATCGCCATGAAAATAGCCTTGATGTTGGCATGGCATTAAAAAGTGAACAAATAAATAAATAATATGTTCCCTTCAATTAGATATACAGATTTCAATCAGTGAAGTTCCTAAGTGTTGAATGATTAATTGAAATAGTCTCAAATAGTCATTTGCACTGGTTGCGAAGTGCATTTTTGATTCACAAGAAGAACCGGTTCATATTGCGGTCGCGTCATACTTTATGTTATGGCATGCAGAGCACGAGAACAACTCGACGTGTTTTTTGTCATTATTTTGCTGTATACGCCGTTTTTTTCATTATTACACTCAATCCTGATTACATACTCTGTATAAAATGTGACTTGTTTTGCCGTGGGGTTGTAGCTTCAGCAGCAGATTCATCAACTAATAAAAAGCCATGTGGGAAATCAATATCAAGCTGATTAAAATAAACATTGCGATTAATTGGGGAAAGAATACATTTATATTTATTATAATTTTTTTTAGCTACATTAAAACTAAATTCTTGCTAGAAATACCCATTTTACTAAACATGATGGTATTGGTAAGAAGAGAAAGGAGTTAGAGAAAGAGAGAGCATGCGTTTGGGTGGGAGATTGGACACTCGGGATGTAGGAAAACCCATAACAGCTGCCAGCGGATTAAAACAGCTTTAAGACAGATTAACACTTTATTTCCTCTGTTGTGTATGTGAGAAAAAGAGAGAAAGAGACTCTTTCGGTTGGTTCTGCGAGCTTTTTGATTGACCCAGAATGAGAATCTATTACTGTGTTGATTTAGAGCATTTGTAATAGTTTTAATAAATATGTTTTCCTCTCTGCAGGGTATAAAGTGACTGCTGTGTCTATCGGTCAATGAAAGTCCTTGTTTTCCATGTCTTTCAAAAAGAAGTCGATTTTTAGTGATTTGGCCCCCATTCAATCTCATACTCCCCATTTCCCTCATCTTTCTTTCTGTCCTCCATTCTTTACCTCTCTCTCCTGTGCTTCTCTCAGCTTTGAGCGGCTTTAGTTGGTCTCTCTGGGACATAAAACCAGTAAATGATATGGCCCTGACCTTTAGAGGGCATGCTTTATTTCTTATAAGAAGAAAAATTGTGGATGGAGAGAAGAAGGTGAGAGCAGATCAGGTGCACATGTGGGTTGACCTTTCCCAGGTGTAATTCACAAAATTAATTACAGATGATTGTATATTTTCATTTTCTGTCTCTATTCTGTCTCTATTCTTCTATTCAGTGTCTGGTTAAAAATCAAACAATTTAGTATGTATATGGTCTTAAAGATCAAAAAATGCCTTTGACATCTCATATACACTCTTTTTTTAATTAAACAACATAATTCATTGTACAACGTAAGACTTATTGGCTGCTGTAAGCTGCCAGCTCATTTTTAAATGGTTGGTTATAAAATGCACTGATTTATGATTCAACTTCAGACTGCAATATGGGCTCGGCAATGTGTATCTGCCTCAATTATAGTCTTTCTTTACCGCACATGCATGTAATTTGAACATGAATTTTCTCCACAAGTGCCTACAGGGTCTTGAGGATTTTAAAAACTGCTGCATCTAAAGACAGATCGACTAAAGAACAATCCAGAAAGTTGCTGGTTGTAGTCCTAACATTGTTGTGTGATGCTTACAACAGCCTGTCTCCTTAAATAGACACTGAAGTAAACTTGGCTTGCATTCTTTACTTCTTTCATTTTTGATATGGAAAGAAAAGTCCAGGCAGCCTGATCAAGCACAGTGTAAAGGGTGACATTCATAGCAGTGTGAATTGATTGGCAGTATTCTGAGAACCATGCCTTTGTGAACATTACAGAGGATGCAATCTAGTGTTTAGAAATGCAGAAGTATTTCAAAACAGATTTGCTTTTTAATTAAATCGAAGATCACATCTCTCTCTCTTTCTCTTAGTGAATAAGCACAAGCCATGGATCGAGAGCTCATACCATGGCATCATCACAGAAAACACAGATGCGGTTCTGTTGGATCCTCCTTTAGTGGCTCTGGACAAAGACGCTCCAGTTCCGTATGCTGGTAAGAAAGCAAGAAATGAGCACTTTATAGGCTACTGGGTTTGTAGTACAGCGCTGCCCACACGTCTTTCCTGAGGCCGTCTCAGCTGATGAGTGTGTGTGTGTGTGTGTGTGTGTGAGTGCATGTCTGTGTACTCCATCTGTTCTTTCTGATTATTAGATGCTTTATGCTTTTCCAGATCCCCTGCTGGTTGCCAGATCACGCTGCCAATGTATCAGATACTCCAGCTGAACTGTATTTCTCTGATACACTTAAACTGAGTCACTGCTTAAGAACACACACATATGCACACACACATGGCCAGCATTGCATCTATCTATCTATCTATCTATCTATCTATCAATCCATCAATCCATCGCCTGTTGTTCTATCCATCCATCTATCCATTCCATTCCATTCATCCATCATCACCTGTTGCTCCATCCATCCTTCCATCACATGTTGTTCTATTCATCCATCATCACCTGTTGCTCCATCCATCCTTCCATCACATGTTGTTCTATTCATCCATCATCACCTGTTGCTCCATCCATCCTTCCATCACATGTTGTTCTATTCATCCATCATCACCTGTTGTTCTATCCATCCATCTATCCATTCCATTCCTATCTATCTATCCATCCATCCATCCATCCATCCATCCATCGCCTGTTGTTCTATCCATCCATCTATCCATTCCATTCCATTCATCCATCCATCACCTGTTGCTCCATCCATCCTTCCATCACATGTTGTTCTATCCATCCATCATCACCTGTTGTTCTATCCATCCATCCATCCATCACCTGTTGTTCTATCCATCCATCTATCCATTCCATTCATCCATCCATCCATCATCACCTGTTGCTCCATCCATCCATCACCTGTTGTTCTATCCAATCATCCATCCATCCATCCATCACCTGTTGTTCTATCCAATCATCCATCCATCCATCCATGCATCACCTGTTGCTCCATCCATCCATCACCCGTTGTTCTATCCATCCATCCATCTATCCATCCATCACATGATGTTCTATCCAACCTGTTGTTCTATCCATCCATCCATCCATCCATCCATCGCCTGTTGTTCTATCCATCCATCCATTGTAAAACCATCATTCAGTTTGTCTTGATAAACTTTGCTTCAAAGTTAAAAATACAGTCATATATGACTTTCTTTGAATTTTAATTCATTTCATTAGATTCTGAATGTCAATTCTGCATCCTGTTTTCTGCCTCACTTCAACTGAAAATGCGTCTCAGTTCAGTTCTGAATGGCGAACAACCCTGCAGTTCCAATCATCTTGGAATTATAAAGCGTCTCAAAGCAATTTAACAAGATACAGGTGGAATTAATTTTAAAATAACAATTAGCATAGTTCAAAAAGGAAGTCTTTGTTTTTACCCTCCCTCCCTCTTTTTACCCTATTCTCGTTTTTCCATCTCTGATGATTTAGTGCCACTGGCGGTTTTCATTTTCTCTCCATAAAATACTATCAGATTTAACAATCTCTTCTCTTTTTTATTCCTCCTAAATAAATGAGTTCTTTGGGGAGTGTTAGTGGAGTTTTGACTGGCAGAATTCTAGTCAGACAGCTGCTGCTGAAAGAGACCCAACCCTTCAGAAAGACACTGAGATCCCTGATATCTAAAACACACACACACACACACTTTCTGAATTTCTGTTTTTTCCCCTAAAATGTAATCAAAATGAAGCCATGACATGTATCTATGTACAAATATTCTATACTTTACATACCACTCTTGGTGTATTTCAATATTACAGAAAATAATAGCACAAAATATCACCCAACACTATTGCACTGTTCTTTCAATAAACTTCCACTTTGATCTACATTAATTTGCGTGTAAGTTTCTGCAGACATACAGCCCTAGAGCCCAAATGAAGCTGTGTGTGAGTGCTTTTGCATGGGAAAATGACCTTGCATTGGGGTTTCAGAACATTTCTAGACACCAAAATAATATTAATAAGAAAACACACATTTTACCATTGAAGTGTCATCTGTGCATCTCCACTGTTCGGAAGCACCATTATCACCACAGCAGAACTGATACTGAAGCTCAGATGTTGTTTTAGAAAATGCCACCTGTTCACATCTTCCCCAACATATTCTTTCATGTGATTTATTGCTACATGTGACCTTTACACAAACATCCCTGACTGTATTCTGACAAGAAAATTAATTAACTAGTGTACATAATAAATTCCCTTGAGAGGAACGGAAAAGGGAGAAAGAAAGAAAGTATAAAGGAGTTCTAGGTTATATCTCATAAAAATACAGAGCTAGAGTGTATTATTCTTCATATTAAACCACCAAAAACAAGCTAAATAATTATGTTGTTACAGGGACAAAAATATATATTAATATATTTATGTTACATATTTTACATTTTTACATAAAGATAAAAAATTAAGTAAAATAAATTACATTTTCTCAAATCACGCATCATTGGCACCTGTGGAAAAAATACATTTATTTATTTATTTATGCATTTAGCAGACACTTTTATCCAAAGCGACTTACAGTGCATTCAGGCTATACATTTTTTACCAGTATGCAAAATTACATACATTCAGTATACATTCATACAGTACATTCATACATGGTGACTCTTCATATATACTTGTAATATTTTGAAACAAATAATATTTTGTAATATATATCTAGAAATATTAAAATTTAATATTTGTAATTATTTATAAATAACTGTATAATATTTGTATTATAATAAATTACATTTTTTAATTCACCCATCACTGAAAATACTTTAATACAGGGTAACTTATTATGCATATATATTTATAATATTTATAAAGGAATCATACTTAATATAGTATATTTTAAAATATTATAATTTAATAGATATAGACAGACAGACAGATAGACAGATAGATAGATAGATAGATAGATAGATAGAACAAAACGATAGATAGATAGATAGATAGATAGATAGATAGGTTTATAGCACTTCAACTTCCCTGCTTCAGACCAAACCAAATCAAGAAAATATTCTCCATGCAACACACGTCTGATTGAATTAGGTTTTTGTTTGACACTCAAACTGTCTTCAATGTGTGTTACAGGTAATGTACCTATAAAATGTAATTAAATATAAAGTGTGATTCTCCAGCAACCACAGATGAAGTGTAATTAATTAAGAGGGTGTAATTTATGCTGAAGCGAGGTTGAGTTAGTTAAGAGGGTAATTGCTGGCAGGTTACAAAACAACATGCTGAATAATTGACGGGTGTAATGCTCCGGTGATTTGAGCAGAACTCTGTAACGGAGCAGCGTATAGAGAGCTGAGTGGATGAAAATAGCCAGAGGTTCTTAAAGTCAAAGGTTGCTGTGAATGCAGATCAAATGCAAGATTGATCATGTAGTTGCTAAGCAATGCTTTGATAGGTTTTCGTCATAAATGCTTTAAAGAACTTTACATTAAAATAAATGAGAGTGTAGACAGTATAAACCAAAGGTACAGCCAGTTATAGTTATAAAAGAGGATAAATCCAGTTATTCTGAAGGAAGTTTCAGAAGGAACACATAGATGGAAGTTATGTAGTCCTTCTGAAATGTGTCTTAACCACTTTAAGACTCCAGGATCTGAAAATAACATTTATTAAGTGCCAAATGAGAGTAAAAATGCTGTAGATGAAAGATAGACTATTTGTCAGTGGGTGCCCACAATGGAGACAATGTTTTTGTGACAGGTGCAATATGCAAAGAAAATGACAAAAAATTGTCATTGTCATAGGTTGAAAAAATATGTATTTTTTTATTTAAGTATATTATAAAATTAGATATGAAATATTATAGAATTATATATTATAATATATTTATATACGAAATATAATAATGTTTTTTTATAATAATTTTATTATGTTTATATAACATTATTTTTATATGAAAAAGTTATATATATTATTTTCTGTGACAGTTGTTTTGTCTGTCAGATGAAGAACTAGAATTGGAGGAAACCCTCACATGTTGTTTTGTTTCAAATGAAAAGCGACAAGAGACTGAAGGGGAATAAGTGATTGAATTGAAAGAAAGTTTGAGTGACAGAGGGAAGGAGGCACTTGAGTGATAAAAGACAGCATTCAGTAATGTGTGTGCGGTGAGGGGTCACTGCAAGTGCAGACGTATACGACTCCCTCAAGGCCTATAAGACACTCCGTCTCTAAGATGGACAGTAACAGAGAGTATAAATCACAGCTGCCTACGGCGGCCTGTAAACATTGATCAAACACATGGCGGGAAATGAGACACGCTATAGTACGGCCGTGTCCAAATAACATACAGAGGTTTCAGTGTCAGTGTGCAATGTCTGCGTAACCTCATATATTCATTTCGTCAGTTTTTGTAGACAGACACAGACGTGTCCTTTGCCAATAATGTTATTCTACAATCCTGTGAATGCAATTCAGTCAAAGGAAGTGGTTTAATTAAATTTATTCATTTTTTCCATTAAAAAATACTGATTGTAGTCTGTAACAACGTTCGTAGTTCGGGAAGAAGGAGGCGGGAACCGGCGGACATTTAAACAAACTTTAATAATAAAATAAACAAACACAAAATAGCGCGACAGCCCCTCGCGGACGACTGTCGCGCACAAACGAAACCAAAACACAAAATAAAATCCAGGCCTGGTCCTCTCTCGTCCAACACGGTCGTCACTCCTCCCTTTTATCCTTCCGGAGCTCCTCCGTGAGACTCGAGACCGGTGAGTGGGTGCAGGTGTCCCTCATTAGCAATCACTCCACCGGCCTCGCTCCGTTCCCACGGCTCTCGGCCCCGCCCCCACTCGTCACATAGTCCTTTAATGCTTGTTTGGCTATTTCAAAAGCTCATTTAAACTATACCATTAGATGTGATGTTTACGTTCCCTATCTGAAATCTCATTATAGGTTGCTTTAAATTTAATAAAGCTTTATTATCTTTGATAAGGCTCACGCAGAAACATGCATGTCATTTAAAAATATACCTACATTAAAACAACAAATAGACACAAAAAATCATCTAGTCTGCTAATAGCATTTAGAATTTTTTTTTTTTAACAGACTGTTTTTAACCATAAAAAAGCATTGCCTAACTGGGAAGCAAAGCAGTTGTTTCATGCGGACACAGCTTTGGAGATTATTTCAACTGCTATTGATTGTTTTAAAGGCGTATGCACCAAACTTATGCCTTGAAAATGAAACAAAGCTCCAAATGTAAATGGGTCACAGGTAGGGTTGTGACGGTGAGGAAATTTTCCCACCGGTTAATCGACGTGTGACAACACCGGTAATACCGGTGTCACCGCGGGGCCGGGGCGTTCCCTCTTTTCCTCACTTTCCTTTGCTTTTAAATAGCTTGTAAAAGCGATGTGCCCATTTTACTTTCACTTTCAAATAGCGGCAATTCGGAGTAAAGCAATTGTTAATTTTTAGTTTGTTTGAATTTTCCCTCTTTTCCTCGCTTTCCTTCGCTTTTAAATAGCTTAAAAGCGCCGTGCGCATTTTACTTTCACTTTTGAATTAGCGGCAGTTGGCATCAACGTTCAGTTTTTAATTGTAGTGTCTGTTCTTATACTGAACTAAATGATTTTTATTACTATAAAAAATCAAAACGACGGTGGGGGTCGGTGACGCGGTGGGCAAGTGACGTAACCGGTGTTGCGGCTTAACACCGGTATCACCGTCAGCACCGTCTATCGCGGCAAGCCTAGTCACAGGTCAGTATTGATTAAAAAAAGATAAATGCAGGTAATAAGAAGCAACTAAAGCTAATAATCATGCATAGCTAAGTAAATAGTAATTTGTTGTTGATGTCAAAGGTCGCGTGTCCCATCAAACTCAAAAACTCATCATTCACTTAGTAGAAGCCAGTTAAATTTAATTAAATTACAGATGGCAATATATAAAATGAAATGCTCAATAAAAAATGAAGAAAACATCAAAAGGTTAAAAAAACACAAATTAGTTGCATTTTTTGTTGCATTAGATGCAAAAAATACATTAATTGCATTTTTTGTGAATTACTGATTGCAGAAAGCATCACCAGATGTTTAGAAACCAAAACTGACAATTTTTCCAAGTATATATAAAATACAACATATTAAAAAATATACAACTTTAAAATTAGATTTTTATACTTATATATGACATTAAATTTGTATTGCATAAAAATACATAAAAATATAGTCTTTTCTGAAGTGAAAATGGTTGAGAGACACTGGTTTAAAGAATATCCTGATGGTAATGCATTGGGAGAAGTGAGAGAAGAAACAGATTGTCTGAGGAAGACTGGAGGAGAAGATATGGGCTGGAATTCTATTGTTCAAGGGGTTTCTCTCTCTCTCTGAGCTTTGTGTTCAGCTGACAGCTTATTGGAAATACTGGAGAGCATGTCAATCACAGACATACAGTGTGTGTGTGTGTGTGTGTGTGTGTGTGTGAGAATCCCTTTAGTGATCCAGCCTTCAATTCATGCACTCCATACTGATTTTTCATACCTTCATAACGAACGCTGTCACGTTCATCTCTACAGCCATATTTATGACTATAGAGCATAGCATTAATATATTATACATATCACAGATACTGAGCATCACAGGTCTGTTTATGTCCAAACTACACATCCTCTATACGTTTGTGCACAAACTATTATGTGTTACTGCACAGCTCTCAGGAAAACATAATTCATATCCCTCATATCACTCCACGGTCTCTTTAGTCACTCATAATAAAAAAAAAAAATCAACTTAAATTAATATTTCATGTCCATTTACTAATTCATTTCTAAAGATAATGTGCATTTTTCCATCAATATTGCAAAATATACCCCTCAGCATGATAAAGCTTGTGATATATAGTAAAAACGTCCATCACTTACATTTAGATTCATGCATTTATTAGACGCTTTTATCCAAAGTGACTTTCAAAAGAGGAAGCTATTTATTCCTGATGCACAAAATTGACATTTATAAAAACACATAAACCAACAATTAAAAAATAGTGCAAAAACAAAATGCAAGAACACATGCTGTGTGAACACCCCCTTGCTATATCAGTGTCAGTGAATTTTGATAAAAGCAAAGCTGAAAAAACAAACAAAAAACCCACACATACTTCTGAATGCTTTCTTTTTTTAATGCATGAATGCACTATTATTCAGTTTTAGTCTTATGCATTTGCGCATGCACAAAGATAGCCAATGAAAGATTGTGAAATATTATTCAAGAAAGGGATGGCTGCTTTTTGCTCCATCTCTCTGGCTCTTTCTCTCTCTGTTTTTTTGTATATATGAGTTTATTCTGAAGATCAAAGAGAGGAGAGATGGAGAATACTCTTATCTGTGCCGGACAGCAGTACTGTTTTACACAACACACACACACACACACACACACACACACACACAATCATTTTAATAACTAGATTTCACCAATAGTGAGGATGTTCGCTCATGCAAAACTCATCAGTATTGTGGGCGGCTGCTAGCATCTTGCTGCCCATTTACTATGGTGTTCCATGGTTGCTAAGCTGCTGTAGGTGGTTGCTAGGTGGTTTCTTACTAGCCAAGATGACCTCCATATGAGGTTTGGTGATGATGTCAGCTTGACTAACATTATAAGTCAACTTCAAATAGATATTTTACATTACATTTAGTTATTTAACAGACGCTTTTATCCAAAGCGACTTACAAATGAGGACAACAGAAGCAATCAAATCCAACAAAAGAGAATCAATATGTCAGTGCTGTACAAGCCTCGGTTAGCCTAGTGCAGTACACGTAGCAAGTTTTTTTTTAAAGAATAAATTAGAATAGAAAAAGAATAGGGAACGCTATAGTGTTAGATG